ATGACTTATTGTAAATTCAGCATTCACATAGAAACTGAGGTAGTGAACTAGAGGCATAAATTAAATTAAAATAACCTTCCTCCTTACATCTAGATATGATCATCATACCAATAGATTAATTTTGAAAATGTGATGTAGAAGAGGAATTGAATTACTGTTTTAGTTTCTCTTTCTGCAACACAGGAATAATAGTACTCTCATAGAATGCTGGAGCATTAAATGAAAGGATTTCAATATTACTCCAACTTCAAAAAGATGTAAAAATATGACAGTAAGTAACATTTTCTGCAGTACAGTACACTGTGCTTAATAGCAGGGATGTAGAAACTACAATGTCTGCGTTGAATCCTAGCTCTGCTATTTAGGGGCTGTGACTTCTGTTTCTTTATGTCTCAGTTTCCTTATCTGTAAAATGGGGATACAAATACTTTAGAGCAGTGGTTGTCAATCAGGGGCGATTTTGTCCCTCAGGGGACATTTGGCAATGTCTGTAGACATTTTTGGTTACACACTGGGGACAGGTGTGTGACTGGCACTTATTGGGTAGGATGCTGCTGAACATCCTACAAATGAGACACTTGGGATGATTTAGATGATTTAATACCTGTAAAGCACTTGGAACAGTAACCACTACTGAAGTGTTAGCTGCTGTATTATTATGATCAAGTGTTTTGTTAAGAGTTTTACACAATTTTCTCATTTAATTTACACAACCCATAATGAAGAGGTACCATTATTATCACTGTGAGGAAATTGAGACTTAAGAGTGGTTAACTTGCCCAAGATCACAGTTAATGATAGGGCTGGCCCTCATACCCAGGTTTATGTGACACCAAAGCCCATGCTTTTGACACTACCTAAACTGATCCTGATCCGTAGACATTACAGCAAATTGGGAACTTTGTTAAAGGCAGTCTGCCTCAAGCCCCTCTCAAGCCCCTTATGCCGTCTCCCAGTGGCCTGGATCTGGATAATTCATCCCAAGCTGTCATTTTCCTTCACTATCAAATAGAACCAACTCTACCAAAGCGAATTCTAATTTTCCAAAGCTCCATTTTAGGGGTTCTTCTTTTTAGAGAATTAAAATGGACATCCCTGTAAATGTCGTACACGTTGACATCCATTACAACTTCTTCACTTTGTAACCTTACAATGCTAACCATATTCTCAGGACAACAACAAAATCATGGCACATACTGCAACAAAGAATTTTTAAGCTATCTGGATAGAGAAGTATAGAAAATGGACTGTAATTGATGTTGGAATTTAGAGACATTTATGGTGTGTGGGAAGAATTATTTGAAAGATTGACTGAAATCTTTCAGAAACCATTAAAGAACAAATCCCAGAAATAGAAGCAGCCTATGATAGTTAATTTTATTTGTTCAAGGGCTCAGATTGCAAGCATTAAATCAAGCATGGGCTTT